GTGGGGCCGAACCAATTCAGATAATAATTAATATTAATTATTTTATTTAGCAAACGAAAAGGCCCTTTCATGGTAACTGAAGTACACTTTTGAATGAATGCTAGAAAGAATGCGTAAACACTGGACGGTGTTCAGCTTGCGTTTTTAACAGGCCGTAGGAGTTATAAAACATTTAATGAATAGTAAACCTAACTCCTTCAGCTTTGGGTGACGAAGAACAGCAAAATAAATTTGATTTGTACGTTTATAAAAAGAAACCATTTTCAATCACGGCAAGGTAAATATGCATATTGGGTAGGATGGTCCAGCAGATGAAGGTATATACGAGAGATTCGGAAGGTTAATCGTCAAGGGAGAATGCCTAAACCAGACGACGTGCCTCCCCGTAGATGGGATTATAATATATTGCGATGACAGTAGGAGCAGCCATTTGGGCGGTGACACAGAAGAAGCCCGCCCAGACCATTTAATTTCCCCTTAGAGTGGAAGCGAGGAGGCGCCATTAAAGGATGTGAGGATCATCAAGGCGCAAAGAACGAACAAGCCATCAGTAGGTGGCGAAAACAAAGTCATCAGCCATGATTGTCCATAGGTCGCTTAAGATGGAAATGAATTTACGTTAAAATCTCAAATATCATCCCTGCAGTGAAGCTAAACTCAGTGCTCAGTTTTCCAACCGTAAGTAATCACTCGTCCATGAACTTTCACCGACTGCTATCGGAACTGACTCTGCCTTGGGTCTCATTTCTCGGGCCCTGATAGTAGCCCTAGCGGCTATTATTCTAGGCAGATAGAGCCACGAACTCTTTTTCTCTTCAGGTCAGGGGCCAATGACATTCCTTGATGAACGTTCACCATAAGCAGTCAGTCGACATTCAATCCACGAGGACATGCTAACAGCGAAAGTTACTACTACTATACTACTGTCGGCGAGATAACTCTGTCCTCCTTCAGCAAATAGAGTCAGACTGAGTTGACAACAACTCAGTTTGACTTTGCCTGAATTCTTACTTGGTTGAAATCGAACAATGAATGGCGAAAGACTTCTTCATTTGAATTTAGCGATCAGCCCGCGCCTAATGTGCAGAGACTGGACTCCAGTGCAATTTATCATTGCGCACACACACGACAGTTCCCCCGTCGATTTCGACGATGGGCACCAGGCGCTCC